AGGATGGGCCCTGTAGTCATACACAGCCCAGCCAGAACCCAGCCGGGCCTAGCACGTAACACAGTTGGACCCCTGTTAAGACGATCCTCGTTAATACAATATTGCCATTAAGACAATATTTTTTACAGAACTGACTTTGTTCCCATACATTTACCAATTACACAATTATCGTTCTTCAACCTCTGAATATTGTCTTAACCAGGGGTTTTTTGCTAGCTTGGTGCCATCAATGCTGCTAAAAAATGGGACTTCTGTGGAGCAACCACGAGCTCTGCAATAATGGGCGCACCACCAGGTCCATAAACCAACACATAAACAGTGCATTGAGTGGTCCTTAGCTGAATACGGCCATTGATTAAGCCAGTCCACAGTCTCCGAGTCCTAGAGCAAGACCTTTGCAAAACTCAACGAAGCTCCAAGTACTACTGTGCTACGACAGCAAGCTGAAAACTGGCCTGACCTTGAGAGTATTAGAGCGATGAAAGACGGCAACTGGGAGTATAAATGAGGCATCAAAAGTACAAAGTAGCCTAGATAGCTGGATTAGATAATGATATCCTTTTAAAGCAATATCCTCTATATGGCAATATTTTTCACGACCCCAATTACATTGTCTTAACAGGGGTTTGACTATAGTAATTGAACAGCTTGCCACCGAGATAACTATAAACTACCCTTGTAAAACTGTTTGCTCTTGCATCAATCCTCGAACCATGACATCCAAACTTTGATTGATATGTTAGTTTCTTGGTTGAAATTATAGAGTACAGAGATAAGTCAGGTCATGCTTAGTGGCAGTCATTGATGAAGGGTTTAATTGTTGAGTTTTCTATTATTTGTGTGTTGAGATACACTTTGTCAATCTTTCTATGCTCGATAATGAGCAGTCCCGACCGGCTAGTATTAAGCAAACAGAGATTGCATATACTCTGTGTCACAGTCTAAACATAGGCACTTGGGCAACTTTTGGTGTCGGAATTGGCGCTACTTGGCAATGAAGAGTTGCATGAACATGGAAAGTAATAAGGTTCTATTATCACTAGCCACATTCATGACAACTCAAACATTGACCAGCCTCCCAATTATTTTGCATAAATAAGTGAATCATGTCCTTCACTTAGATGTAGTGACTAGTTTAAATAGCACTCTGATACAAAGTGGGTTTAATCATCAACTCTCCACTATAGTTTCAGACTCTTCAATCTCCTAACTCGCTTCACTAGGTGATATTAAACACAAGCCTATTGGCTTAGGCTTCTCTATACAACTTCCATTACAACAGTAATAATTGTGAGGCTCACTTGTCCAGTGTGTGGCTGATAAAAGCCTTGCATGAAATCAAGTAATGGGATCTGGCTAGTGCAAAGGCAGTATAATCTATTAACACTGTAAGATGTCTGTCAAACTGCCCAGAGCCAATAAAGTGCAGGCATACAGATATCAATCAGCATTGACTTTGTGAGTCCTAAAACTACCTTGATTGCTGCTTCAGATACTCCATTTTTCTCAGGTGTATCTGGGGTAGAAAGATCTGTACAAATACTATGCTTTTCACATTTGCAATTTTATGCGTAAAAATTCAGTGTCTCCATCTCTATAGATTGCCTGGACTTTCTTTCCGTAATGATGGTGTTGAAATTCAATCCACTGCACGAGAGAAGAAGCAATTTAGACTTTGGATTGGGTTGATAATGACCAACTCATGCAATTCTTAGAATCTAAAATTATAACAACATACTGGAGTCCATTAATTGCAGTGGTGATCTTGCCTACTGTATCTATAAATATTTCATCTAGAGGTGCGTACGGGATTGATCTAGGTTCTTGTTGTGGTTATGAGCTGTGAGGTGTATAGCAATTATGTCTCTGCTGTTTGTCAGTGGAGTTACATGGGCTCATGTGCAATGGTGAGTCGCGGAGATGGCGCGCTCACGCTGGGTGATGGCACAATGGACACTGAGTGCGTATCACTGTGGCCAATTGATTGTCAGTAGATATCAAATGTGAACTCCTACTGACGATGTTGATCTATGAAGGTGATGCTAGATGTGCATCCCGACAATTGATAATATCATCTAATGGATGATGTGAAGTATGATATTATTTTTGGATAGATTAATTCACTAAACTCGGCAGGTGAAGAGATTGTAGAGTACATGAACAGCGTCTGTGCACCAGCCTGTATTTTCCACCCTTTTCTAATCCAGTAGCCCATCCTCCATCCCCCTGTCTCCTAACAACTCATCCGAGCCAGCACAACAGTTCTCGAGATAAGAATCTTTGGACTTTGCTGAGGTGACATGTCTTGCATGTTGTAAGCTGACTTAGATCTATATTTTCGAGTCCCTGTGATGGAAACCATGTTGGTAATGAATAAATTGATTTATTAAATTATATGAGGAGAAAAGAGAACTCTAGCTACAACTAACAGGTATTTATAAGAATTGGTCCCTTTCACCAATCTCCAGACTGATGACTTATCCTTAGGCACAATATTTGCTACCCAGCCACGCATTGCCAGGTGTTACTTAGTTGTAGTAACGCTTAGACCTCCTGACTTGTAGTGCCGCCTTATTCAGCTTCATCTATCCCTCCCCATGCAACCTTGTCATATACATTCTTAACAATGCGCTTAGGTATTCACCTAAGCTCAAACAACAGTAAAACTGTAACAATCAAATGCTATAGAAGATATTGGCTTTATACTAATACCTATATCAGGAATGCCTGCTGTATAAGCTTTATATGTGGAGATAACCTGAACTAAGGTCGTACGAGTCTAGCATAGCCATTTGGCTGAGTGGTTATGCACCTATGTCATGCATGACACAGGTCGACATTCTCTTGCCTGACCCCCTTGATTTTTTCATGTACCTGTACATAGAATTTCCATACTAATATTAATTTGTGATAAGATGAAGGGGTAATTAATTAAAACCAACAATTTAAGAATAGCTTCCCCTATTCAATTACTCATGTACAACGTCATGTAAGGATATTCAAGAGAGTCATGAAGAGAAGGACAAGAACATAGCCATCAATGCAAAGATGTTGGCAAGAATTGATTACAATGAATTCCGGCTGGCAAATGCTTCTACTCTTGTATATAATAGTTCAGCATGAGAGAGATCTACTTCTCATGCAACGTCTTCTTTTCTTACCCTTTACAATACATTTGTTCACCCATCTCTTCTTCGGGAAGACCATATATCCATTGCCCAGTTCTTCATCATCAAGAACCACGTGTAACATCTACTGCAACTAGTTGCCCATTCATCTCTTCCTAGAGAAGACCTGTCATCCCTTTGACCCATTTATAATCTTCACTTACCACCTAGATCTTCACTGGGCTATACAACGCACCCCGTGCAATACTGTCAAACCCTCATCCTTGAAAGTTTTGATCTCTGTCTTGACCTTTGTCTCAGCTCCGCTGTCTACATGCCGTTTCTGACAACTTAGTACCCTCAAAAATGACTGAAACAGGCAAGTAAGCCACCCAAAGCCCCCTGATATCTTCATCAGCCTTGGTAAAAATTATAGCAAATCCATTGGCAACCATGAAACCTGATCATGATTCATCAGAAGAGTCAGACAACAAACCATACCCTGACATAGTCAATTCATTCAATGAGGATTTCCATGATAAAGATTCAGCATACTAACCAAGCTCAGACCAGCCTTATGACCGTGAATTTAATTCTTCTGAAGATTAGGAATTCCCTCAATATGATTGTATCATAACATACTGGGACTCAGTACCAATCTAGACAGGCCATTTTAGAGTCTATTTTGTAGAGGGAGAAATAATGCATATAAAAAGCATTTGTAAGGTCAAGCAAGTTAACTATCATTGCCTACATCATGAAATATCAGCAAATGAATCAAAAAAGCGTGAGGCCTGGTAAGAAGCTATGTTAGGTCCAGAGGCTAAACAATGTGAAACAGCCATAATTAATTAATACAAATCACTCAATAAAACTGGAATATTTGAAATAATAACTCACAACAAACAATTGAAATAGTTCCGGAGATTGGAAGAACTACATACTAGACTTGAAGCTAATTGAGAGATATGACAAATGTGTTTACTATACAAAGAAGTTTACTGATGTTTAAGTGGTAGTTAGTTGTGATTAAATTGCTTTAACTCTATATGTGTGCCAAGAAGTCCCTCTTTACACACAAATGAGGTTTTTTTCACACACTAGTGTGTATTTAATCATTCTTCCTCCTTTAACCTCAGTTGAAAGGTTTTTGAAGAACCTGAAGCTAATGTATACCCTCAGTCATGAGCTATTACTTACATGATGTCTAATACACTAAACTTTATATTTGGGATGCACTTGTTGAATGCTAATATTATTATCTTTAACATAACCAATTATATGAATACCTTGCCCTGATCCATATCTTTGTCCTGATATCTATCCACTGTTTCCGACAGCAACCAAGCTAATACTTCGAAGTATTACAACATTAGTAATGTGATATATACTTCATAGCCACAAACTAGTGATCTGTGACTATTCATCATCTGCTTCCTCAAAATTGTTATGTAATATTTGCAGATTGGGCATCTAAATTACATAATATGGGCTCCCGATTTATACTTTTATACTTATATTATATTGCTCATCATCCCACAGGACTTTCTATTACAAAATAATATCATGAAAAAGATGATTCATGGGAGTACAAGCTTGTATGAGTCAGGTCAGCTCTTGGATATTGTATCAAGCCCACAAGACATCATTACTATATTAGTGACAGGTATACCATTCTAAATAACAGTGAGATCCTGACTTCACCTATATTAACCATCCTAACTCCAACACATTCCAGTCTCTAGAAACCAGCTTCATTCAAATTTCTACTCCACTGAGTTTATTTTCCATTTCACTTCTTCAGGTTAAATAAATAGACCTCGTAGTAAACTAAGTGTGAGATTTCAGATAAAATATTAATCTTGAGCTAAAATGAATTTAGTCTAGAACAACATGAAGTTCTTACATCTTACTAGCATTATTGTGCTGCTAAGTCAAGCAACATCAATTTCTACTGCCATACTGTTCCCAAGGTCATCCTCATCTAGTTCAATGAGGCTTGCAAACCCAATGCAAGACATCTATACAGCTATCAAGAGATATGAAAATAACAAAGAGGAATGGAAATCTCCAGATTCAATAGCTAGAATGAGAGCTAGTGCTTTTGGCTTCAAATTCCTAATTCCCTTTCATATGGATCAAACGTGGAATCAGAACTGTGAGAATTCCTTGCTAGTTCAAGACAAGATAACAACTAAATAACTCATAGGTCACGAAAATTATATTACCTCGGGCCCAGACGGAAAACTTAACTACTGGGTTGTTATTTCAGATTATGGGGCTTTAGTCCGTTCAGGACCGGTGAATGTACCACAATAATCCAAATTAGTTCTTAAACTGTTCCCACTCTCAGGGCCACTGCTGGCGAAAAGAAGTTTTAATGGTTTTTATAACTGGTACATGTAAATGGTGTCATAGCTACACAATGGAGGATAAAAATTAAATAGTTTAAGTAAAAATGACTCAGAGTATGTAAGTATTTTGTTGTGATTGATGACATAACCACCCCTGCATCTGGTTATTGTGGATCATAGAGATGTAGAATCTAATGGTTAAAACAGAACAGACCAGAGTCAGATAGAATAGAATGTGATGACTCAGAGCTGAATGGAACTGAGCAACTGGGGATATGGAAAGCCATAGAATGTGGTATATGTATATAAAAGTAGTGATTCTCTAAACTTGAATGAAGCAAGCAATTCTACTAATTCATTACAATCTACCTCTACCTTCAAGCCTCAGTGAACATGCAGTTATTTACCGGTAACTATTCCACCTCCCATAACCTTGCATTTATAACATATTTGTCTGCCATTTATTTGAGGATAGAAGGCAAAGAAGCTGGGTAAACAATAGAAACTTTGATGCAAGACATAATGGTCTTGTGTCTACAGGTAGTTTTTCCACCTACATATATGATAACTCAGTGAAATTGTTTGGAGACAAAGAAAGACGTGTCAATAGCAGGAGTACTACGGAGGGTCATTAATTTGTGAAGTTAATGGTTCAAGAGGTTGATGGGTGTCTCGAGGTCGGAGAGTCGAAATCTCAAGATGCTGAAAGGTCAAGAGTTCAGATTTTCAACCGATAAATTTGCAACGGTATTCAAGATTATCAAAAAGCCTCCCAAGATACAAGACCATAAATTGCTGAAATAAAGTAATCCCAATTACCCAATATATATACCTCTCTATTTTTCTCCAACTTTCCAGTATACACTCATACAGAATAGAATAGTCTAGACAGGTACAGATCAGAACAGAGCAGATTAGGATAGAATATAGCAGAATAACACAGATATGTTTGTACAGAGTTCCTATTGACTCAGAATAGACCCTTGTGTCAGGAATGCCTACTGTGTAATCTATATATAAGTAGATAACCAGTATCTAGTGTTCTATGATTCTGGTCTGGCATTTTAGCTCAGTGGTGATGCACCTATCTCATGCATAATGTAGGATGGTAACCTCATGCCTGGCATTCTTGTCTTGAATATTGTCTCGATCCTTGTCTCTGCCCTGCCTTCTACATGCCGCTTCTGACATCTGGCTACCTCAGATGTGCATATAATTAGCGCTTTCTACCTCCTAAATCCTCATAGTTCTGAACATGAAAAATATCAGCAGTTCACATTGATTCATTGATAATCATCCGTAAACCTTCTGCTAATTAACCTCTGTAAGCTCTTACCTTTACAAAAACTTGGCGTTGAACTCCGCCAACTTTGGTGTAGCCTCTAGGAGTTCTTCCCTTATTTCCTTATTCCCTGTAAGAATAGCAAAGCCGGTTCTGACACGGTATATAGAGCAGGCTTCACTCAAGGTGCGCTCCAGCTTGATCTGTAGTTGTTGCCTTATTCCGAGAGTCGAAAGCTGGCACCAAGGGTGCTCCTTTTCCAGGTAAAGGAAGAGTCGTCTGTCGACTTTCGCCTTGAGAGCTTCTTTATTTTAGGCTTTGGCCGCAGGTCGCGGCACAGCCTTCCTAGTAGGGACTGCTCTTTGTTGCGTTCCGTTTCTGGCCACCGTGGCCCAGGTGCTTTTCACAGGCAGAGCTAGGACGGCGGGAATGGGTGTGCTCCTGGCTTCTAGAGCCCTTGGGGTCGGGTTTGCAGGGCGAGGAGGGAGGACGGATGGCGTGGAGGCCGGGCCTGTGGCCATGTATTACGCAATGGCGGCGCGTAGGTAGACTCTCATCGAGTCTACAAATTGTCTATTTGACCCGTTGGTCAAAGGGAGGAGGTTTGCTTCGATGCCAGAGATGGTGGCGGAACAGAGGGCCAGATTTGCCGTTGCTTTGGTGGGGCGTCGTTGTTTGGCTTCGACAATTGGTCAAAGTTCCGGAGGGCAATCTGCTTTTGTGGCAGCTTTGGGCTGCGACGTTGATATTGACGCTGCTTTGGGTGCAGCGTTCTCCGAAGATATTTGAGTGGTCGGAGGAGGTTTAGACGATTCTCCAATCCCGTGGAGGATGCAGACTCATTGAGGAATTTCCTCAATAATTTAAACTAACCCGACCATGTTAGTATTGGGCCCAGCGGCGGCAAGGATGGCTATTCCTTTCCCTTTCCTCGAGGTCTTGCTCATCTCCGCGCATTTCGGAGACTGGACAAGGCAAGATTATTGATCGAGAGCCCTCGGGCGGACTCTTGTGTTGTCCAACATGGCGTTGGGACGCTTTTTTCGAACAGGTGGCATTGTTAAAATGCCAGCAACTCGGTGACAATTAATTAAGGGAATACGACGAGCGCGAAAGGGAGGGAGTGGGGGAAAAAGTGAAGATTCGAATTTTCGAATTTCAAAAAATTGTGTGTGTGTGTAATGGCTGTTAAGCCTAGGGATTCCTGTAGCCTACGCTGGCTAGCGCAGGCAATGAATGCAAGGGAATCTTCGGGAAGGATCTCGGAATACAAGGAGCTTAGAAGATTCTCAATGAACTTTCTGGAAGCATACTGAAGGTTCATGAGAACCACAGGTGTATCAAGAATCTTCTAGGGTATTGTCGAGGATTCCATGTTATTCCAGATATAGGGAGAACCTTACAGAAGAGGAGTATCTCAGAGTGTATATATATTTGTATTCTAGCTATAGGAATTCTCTCTCTAGAGAATTATAATTAATATACTGTACTTACAAGATCGCCCAAGCATTTTGTACTGAAGCCGTGACAGTGTGTATGTTTCTTGATTGTACTACAGGTTAGCGCCTGTGGTTTGTATACACACCATAGCCTCACCCCAATCATTTGCATACCATTTCCTAGTTCCGTGTTCCTTCATTATTTTTGCGTGTATCTGTTTACTGTATTACTTGAGTCTATGACTACCTAGCACATTGGGCTCCTCTCTGACCCAGGCCACACCTTGTACAGTGCTCCCATCCTCTTTTGTTTCTTGAAAAATCATTGATATATTGCCCAAGTTGAATAGCCATTCAGATTAGTATTTATTCGTGGAATTCGGCTACCTTTTCCACGGAACCTTCTACCCAAAAAAAAAAAAAAAAAAAAAAAAGGTAGCAATGGAAACTGCGTGCGCACGAAAAATTCTCCAAAAGCCTGCAGCCCCAGCCAGGCGAGGCCTAGACACCGGGACCACATGAGGTGCGCATATTCATCTATATCTACCTTCTTTGTAACAGTCGAGGCAGACTTGATCCAATCTGCCATCTCTGAATTGGGTGCAGGTTACGCTCCGGAAACTCATCAGATGGTGCCTCCTCCATGATCAAAGGTTGGTGATGAGTAGGACTCCGACCCTACCATCTGATCTAATTGTGGTTAGCTTCATAATAATGGTGATAGGGGAATGTGTTGAGAGATGAAGACAATACAGACCGCGAAAGCGATTGGGAATCCTCATCAAAGTGAGGACTTTGTTTCTCAATCTCGGCTCTGCAGATTCTACATTGAGAGCTGGAGGTTCGTAGGTTTCATGGATAAACATGGCGGAAACTAGGATGGTGTCTCATGGGGAGTTCCATTCTAAAACACAACTCAGGGTTAGATCAAGTTCTCAAACAATTAGGACAGGCTCAGAAACATAGGGTCGTTTCATAGAGATTGCGTAGTAATACTGTTCGAGATAGAGCTTAGTGTTGTGGTTATGAGCTGTGAGGTATATAGTAATTATGTCTCTGCCGTCTGTCAGTGGAGTTACATGGGCTCATGTGCAATGGTGAGTTGCAGAGATGGCGCGCTCACGCTGGGTGATGGCACGATGGATACTGAGTGCGTATCACTGTGGCCAATTGATTGTCAGTAGATATCAAATGTGAACTCTTACTGACAATGGTAATCTATGAAGGTGATGCTAGATGTGCATCCCGACAATTGATAATATCATCTAATGGATGATGTGAAGTATGATATTATTTTTGGATAGATTAATTCACTAAACTCGGCAGGTGAAGAGATTGTAGAGTACATGAACAGCGTCTGTGCACCAGCCTGTATTTTCCACCCTTTTCTAATCCAGTAGCCCATCCTCCATCCCCCTGTCTCCTAACAACTCATCCGAGCCAGCACAACACTCGGACATACCACTAGAATATATATATTGATAGCAATTGTGAACAATTTGCTTAATGCTCCCTGCTCTTCAAGGCAAGCATCTTCCTTTGGCTATTTGCCATCAACAACAAGTTCAAAGAGCTTTTGGCCTTTACAGATTGCCTCCATTGTTGTGGCCCATTATTCGTAGGTATTGTTTCCGGTCAGTTGGTTAACGTTAGAGAACGAGATGTTTTGCATTGAGCAGTTATGTTGCTTTGTGAAATATTTATTGTTTTCTTTATTGAGGATGGAGGTTTGGTTTGAAGGTAAATTTACCATTTCTGTTGAGCTGTTAGATGATTGATTGGACAATAAGGAAAAGGGAAATTATAGGATATTAATGCATTTGTTTGGGCACCGGGCTCATAATCTGCTGTAATGGAAGTTGTATCAAGAAGCGTAAGCTGTAAGGCTTGTGTTTAATATCACCTAGTGAAGCGAGTTGGGAGATTGAAGAGTCTGAAAACTATAGTGGAGAGTTGATTAAACCCACTTAGTATCAGAGCGCTATTTAAACTAATCACTACATCTAAGTGAAGGACTCAATTCACATGATTATGTTAAATAATTGGGAGGCTGGTCAATGTATGAGTTGTCATGAATGTGTGTAGTAATAATAGAAACTTATTACGTTCTATATTAATGCGCCTTTTTATTGCCAAGTTGCACCAATTTCAACACCTAAGACTAGTCACTACAATCAAGGGTGCAAAGCCCATAGCTGTAACATAGCAACTGATCAGTATCTTGACTAGTGACTGTTGCTATTG